GGTGTTTCAGACGTGCCACCTTCGATCTCATTATGTCAATAATTATTAACAATAAATATATTCACAAATATGCAATTAAAAAAAATATAGTGAAATACCCAATATACTTTTCATTTTATTAATGATTCAATTACATTTTTATGAAACTATTTTTAAGTCTTAAAATGAAAGAAGAATTAATGAGTATAAAACAAATGAATAAATAAAATCAAAAAAGGGAAGTTCTTAATTAAGATAATGATAATGAAAATGATAATAATGTAAATTATTTAGAATTCCATTGAATACCAAAAACAGATTTCTTTTTATTCCCATACACCTCTCCAGATACAGCATTAATTAATACATAATTTAATTCTCCTTCATAACGATAAGAAGTAAAACAAAAAGGGATGTAAATTCTTTGAACTTTTGAACGTTCTTGAATAATTTTAACATTACAAGAATAACTAGAATCATTCGTAGAACTTTTTAAAGCAGTTTGTTTATATTCCCTAGTTAAAGCAGTAATTTGTCCTTGAACATAATTTTGATATATTCCAACAGGCTCTTTGGAATCTTCAAATAATCTTTTAGGAATGTCTTTTGTAATAAATGAATCATTTCCTTTAAACCATCCAGATAATTTATCTACTACTGATGGATTTTCTATTTGTTTGAGGGTTCTTGCATTTGGATCATTTGGATCAAATTTATATATTCTTCCTGGTGGTATTATGACTTCATTTAATAACAGTGGCCTATAAGGACTTGATGATTGCCATAAACATATTACATTGCTTAGTGGTCGTTCATAATATCCAACACAACCATCACACCCAAATGTAAGTTGAATCCATAAAAATGGAATCATATGAATATCATCAAAAATAATAGGTTGACTTTCAATAACTTCTAATAATTTTTTTGATGAAAAAAGTCCAGAAGAAATCCATTTATTAAATGATTTATAAAGCTTCTCACTGTCTTGTTCTTGTCTCATAAAATGTAATGGTAAATTGTCATTATCAAAATTTGCTGATGAACAAACAACATTCCCTGAGGCAACAGCCTTTTCTTGATTATAGGTGTAATGACTTACAGAAGTGGGTGGAACTTCAAAAGTAACTGGGACATATTCAGACTTTCTTTTTATTGGAGTATTAAATGACTTGGGCTGAAATTCTGATGGACTTTGAACACTTGGATAATTCTGTTTTGTTTGTGGTTGAACTTTTTTTGTAGGTGTATCAAAATGAGTTGCATTGAGTTTACTGGCTTTGTTTGGAAGTTGTGGTTTTTGTTTTATTGGAACTCCATAGGCTGCAGCAAATTGTGGTGGAACTTCATCTTCTGTAAAGTAGTAAGTGTTAGAAGAAGAAGCTACAGAATTACTATTTCGTGATACCTCATCAAATGGATTTGTTGAATTAGTGTTTGGTTTTGGAGGAGGAAGAGGAGGTAATTTTTTTGGAGGCATAGGTTTAGTTTCATATGTTGGAGTTGGTTGTACAACCTGACAATTTTCAAGAGTTGGATATACTGATATTGTTGGTTGAGACACAGTAAATGAAGGTTGTTGAGGAGTAGGAATATATGGAGGTTGATATATTGGAGGTGGAACTTCTTCTGAGTAATCAACTGGTTGAACAGGTATTTGAACAGGAACTGGAATTAACAACTCATTCTCAGGAAGTTTTGTTTCATGAGAAGGAGAATTCTGAATCTCGTTTTCAGGAATATTTTGTTTTGGCTCAGTATTTTGTTTCAATGGTTCAATAATTGGTAATACTTGTGGTGGTATTTGTGAGTTATAACTTTGTTCTTGTTGCACTTGTTTAGTAATAACTGGTTGTTGATTGTCTTGAGGGAGGTTATGTAGAGTCAAAGAAATTATAGGAGGACTAACAGTACTGGTATTATCAATTTCTTGTTTATCTGTTGTAAAAATGTCATCTATGTTCTAAAAATGAGTTTTAGTGGCTTTGTAATAAACATCAATTGGAGCCATAAAACAATGTCAAATAAAAAAGTCATTCAAAAATAAATTAAAAACAAACATGTGTATTCATGCATAATGGGCATTCCATTTCACTTCCACCAAGTAAAAGA